TTCAGGAGGAGTGATTCCCAGCAGTTCAGCTCTTTGCTTGGGTGAGAGGACCTGTATAGCCTCCAGCTGTACAAAAAGAACAGTTTTATTTATTTATGTATTGGTAAACACAGTGGCTTTGGCTATATTTCAAAACATCCTGATTGTTTTTAAAAAAATCCAAGCCTCACAGGTTTGAACAACTGGTTGAGAAGAAGCAGCTCTCTGAGAGACACAAATTGTGAAAATGCCCCTAAGTTGTCCTCTAGCCACTGTGTGCTGTTGTTGAAGGAGGACAAACATCCTGGATCTGGGGAAGGGTAGGAAGACAGAGAGAGATCTGTAAACACTCAAAGACTAGAGATATATTAATGCAGATTTATTGAGGAGTGAATGAACTGATATTTACCTGCTTTTGGATGACAAATAATTGCATCAAAAAATAAACTAGACTATATGATATAGTTTTTGGTGAACTCTGTTTATAACTACGCAACCATCTGTGGACATTTATCAAGCTTTCATATATTGTTTTTCAGGTGTTCATTTGAGCTGAAAGTTTAACTAAATGAAAATAAACAGCAACATGTCGACATCACAGTACAGATAGTATCTGGTCCTATTGCTATTCCCCCACCATGAAGCCAATACACATACAGTTGTAACTTAAAAAGAAAAAAAGCAATGGATACTTTATAGAAATAAATGTATGTTTCCTAAAACTCCTTCTTTTTCTAATGTTTCACATCTTTATTAGAGTTTTTTCACTATAATAACCCACATGGCAAGGACCAATTTATGCATCTTCAAGGTTCCTACCTGCAGTGTTGTTCCTTGTCAGGAAAACCCTTATGAAGTGAGTGAAGACAGACATCTGCCTTTCATGCATCATGTGTGGCTGGATCTCATTCAGCATTTTCAAACTGAAAATAAAAATTTTATTTGATAATCAGGCATTAGGAAAGAGGTGAAGTTATTTCTCAAGCAGTTATAAAGAATAAATGAATCCATGCTGACATGTGCTGGTAGGTGCTGCAGTTCAGTGCTTTTGAGGAAAGGCATGAAAGGAAGCTGTTGGAAACTGCTGGCAGGAACGGACGAAGGCGGCGGCCAAACCACTTCTGGATGAAGTCGGGATTGATAAAGGTGACCGTGTCGACAAAATCCAGCCGGAGTTCTCGTATGGAGTCCAGGATCATAGAGGTGGAGGGACTGCTGGGGTCGAGCATCTGCAGAAATTAATTATCCAAAGTCAATATTATTATTTACATTTTCATTAACCTAAGAATGATTTGTTATTATACTAAACTTCAAGATGATAAAGAGCTAAAGTTTCTTTATACTATGGACGATCATAAGTAACTATTTTTGTTTATATTTACATTACTGTCAAAGAGTAAGTATGCACAGTAACAAAGATTCAAGAAATATCCCGAAAAGTATTTTTATCCTCTTAAGAAAACCAAGTAAACTGTTTTACCCTGAATACATAAGTTTGTAAACCCTTTGATTTATTTAAATCTTATGAATTCAAATCAGTAAATAGAAAAACAAAAACGATAAACGGTTAAAGATTCTTCATACTGTAAAAAAAAAAAATATTTCTCACTTTGTCGGCCATCAGATCCAGAGCCTCATCCAGGACCCTAGAGGCTTTAGAAAGGAACAGCTTCCAGACGAGTTTAGAGCCGTTAGAGCTGGAGGTCCTGTTACAACTCAGCATGGCGACCAGGTCCTCAGCTTTTAGATCTGACAGCTAATGAGGGAATGAAAACAGATTAGATGCTATATTATAAGCGGAATCCTTTTCACAGACATGTAGATTGAAGATAGTTTATGATGCCATGTCTTACTGAGGCACAGGCAAATTCCTCAACAGAGAAGGTGCAGTGCTGTCCCGCCATCGTCTTGCTGTCTAAGTAGTTCTGAAGCTTTGTGCTGTGGTTAAAAAATGTATTCATGATTTAACTTTTTAACTAAAAAAGGTTAAAGTCTAAATATTACACAATGATACCTGTTGACTCCCATACAGATTTCTGTCTCTGTAAGAAGTTGAAAGATTAGTTAGGATATTAATCTACATAAAAAAGCAAAACAATTGTAAATAAAGGTCTTTATTTAGTGGGAGATAACTTACCATTTGTCATTGTTACATTGCACTGAACAGAGAAAGCAATGAAATGGTTACTGACTGTAGAAAACAATCCAACAAAAGGTGAAAATAAACCAATCACTTCAACACATTAACATATTTACCTCTCCACTGTAGATGGTGCAGTCTAATAAAAACACAAAAAAAATCAAATTAGTTAAATCTATCCTTAGACATTATACAAATAGAAAATTCATTTTCAAATAAAATGAAATTATATGATATTAACTTATTGAATATTTATGCAGTAAACAACAATCATTAAGTTTATATTTCGAGTTTAGATATAAGTTCCCTTATATCTAAAATTTCAGGAAATCTACCATCTCTCATCGCTACAATTGTTATTAGTGACAAAAATTAAAAAATGTTTTCACAGTTTATAAGGAAAATGTTAAACCGGGGGGGAGAGAAACTGTTGATAGGAAAATTTAAGTTAAAGTAGAACAATATCTGGTTTTTGCCAAACATAAAATATGTCTGTCTTTCTTTTAAAGGACCCTCACCATGTGGAAGTTGCTTGGATAAAGCCATCTTGGTGTATGTGATGGAGGAAGCTATGTTAGGAGAAGCTGTTACCAAGGCAACATCCAGTCTGGTGAAGCTGTAAGGAAAGGCATTTTTAGGTCAGTCAAACTAATAGAATTGATGCAGCTAAAACTTGTGTCTAGGCCGCCCTCTGGTGCACACCTCTCAGCTCTACTGACAAATATCCTATGAGGCTAAGATACAGTCTTATTGATGGAAACTCCAAAACATTGACTTTTGTGTACTTAAGTGATTTTGTTATGAATTTAGCTATGAACAAATTGTCATTGTCCAGTCAGAAACCCAACTGCACCCAAAGGTTAACTTCTTAGTTGATATAGAGGTTGTACAAATTATTCTGCAATAATTCCTTTTCTCACTATGGTTGTGTCCGAATGTCTACCCTAATCACTAGATACCTCAATCACTACATAGGGCTGAGACTATATAGTGGACTCAGATCACTACTAGAGCCTTTTCACTGTCTGTCTTGCCTGAATGCTGGGTCCTACGTTATGAGTTACGTTATTATCACAATCTGCTCATTTAGTGATTAAGGATGATCACTACTTTTCAAATTGCATTGTGGGAAATTTTGAGTCGACTACTTTTTCGGACACTCATCTAAAAGGGCATAACCACTATATGGTGCCCTATATAGTGGTTTGGGTAGACCTTCAGACACAGCCTATGTTATTTTGTGAAGTGGACCTCCAATACTCAATATCTAGGTCAGTGTTCTTAGGCTCGCAGGCTTTCTTTTCTCCAAATGCTATGAAGGTCATTACAGTCAAAAACATCAGTTCTAGTTTCTACTTTTGGAAACTCACAGTTTTATGTAGGATGAACAGGAAAGGTTTGCCTATTGGACAAAAGGAAAAAGTGTAAAAATTAAACAACTATTTTTAACCTGTTGCCTTAAAAAATATCCTTAATATTAACAGACTTTCTGTTTACCGTTTCAGTGAACTGGGATAGGAATGACAGGAACTCTGTAAATCCTCTTTCCTCTGGTGCTTGGGTCATGTAATCAAAGAGGATGTTGATGACTTCGTCTGTGTTTTCAGGAGGAGTGATTCCCAGCAGTTCAGCTCTTTGCTTGGGTGAGAGGACCTGTAAAGCCTCCAGCTGTACAAAAAGAACAGTTTTATTTATTCATTCATCGGTAAACACTGTAGCTTTGGCTATATTTCAAACATCTTGATTAATTTTGACAAATCCAAGCCTCACAGGTTTGAACAACTGGTTGAGAAGAAGCAGCTCTCTGAGAGACACCAATTCTGAAAACGGCCCAAAGTTGTCCTTTAGCCACTGTGCGCTGTTGTTGAAGGAGGACAAACATCCTGGATCTGGGGAAGGGTAGGAAGACAGAGAGAGATCTGTAAACACTCAAAGACTAGAGATATATTATTGTCGATTTATTGAGTGGTTACCTGAGTGATTGCCGGAGTAGGATTTTTGAAGGAAACGAAGGACGAAATCCTTTAAGATCACCTGCTGTTGCTCCAGGGGCATCTTCTTGAAGTTGTTAGCAAAAACCTGTAGTCTAATGATGAATACCAGACCCCACAGAAACAGAATTTTAATACAAAAGTCCCAGACAATGCAATTAAAGCTACTTATAAGAACAAAACCAATTTTAGCATCTGTTTCTGTAATATAATTCTGTCAAACATAGACAGCAAGACTGGAAGGATTAAATCTTGCACTTTACGCCACTTGGAAAAAATGTTCTAATGTCCAAAATCATCAAAATGTTACTAAGAACCAACTGTAGGTGTTAATGTCCAACTGCTAAAATCTGAAAAAAGTTTGCCTGATGATCAATAGGCATTTTTTTATTGACATAAAAAAAATAAGAATCAAATACATCATTCTATTACTACTCAATCATAAAACACTGGACTAAGATAGTTTTTTGCAAGTGTTTTAACTCACAGTTGGTGGTATGACACACAGCTTAAGTTCCTGCTGGTCAGACAGAGCAGGAAACGTCCTGAAGCAGATGGCAAGAAACTGCCCAGACGTTCCATGAACCACAGCCTGATCACACTGCTGTTCATCAGGTCCTGATCGGTCAGCGATGACAACCTGATTTCCACAACCACATCCAAAATCGCCTCTGCCGATGGGATCATTCCCATTGACTGTAGGGGAGATAAACCAGCTTAATAGAACACAAGAAAAAAACGTCAGGATGCTTTTACGTATCCCAAAATCCACCCACCATGTTAGCCAGAAGGTCCAGTGCTCGGTTCAAAACACTTGAATGTTTGGTGAGGAGCAGCTTCCATAGAACCCTGGAATTACTGCTTTTACCAGGAAGATTACACCTCATAAGGGAGGCCAGATGTTCAGCCGTGAAGTCCTCCAGCTGCAAGTAGAAGACAGTGAGAAAGCTGCAGCATATCCGAATATTTCCATCCTGACTTTGTTTCATTTGGTGGCAGTCACCTGTGCACAAGCATATTCCTCCAGGGTGAAGTTACAGGAAACATGCTGGGAGCTGTTGAAGTAGGTCTGAAGAGGAGAGCTGTAAGAAGTAGATTTGTGGGGCTTTTAATGATAATCTTGGTAGACTGAGTGCACTGAGTACAAATCATGCAAAATGGAGTTACCTGTTGATGCCTTTGCAGATGTGAGTACCTGTCAAAAAGGTAAAAAGTGTCACTGAATTAGGGCTGCAACTAATGATTAGCTTACTAATGGATTCATCTGCCAATAATTTATTGATTTTAATGAGACAGCAAAAGTTTTTTTTTTTTTTTACAGAATTGAACAAAGTGAAGCTATAACTTTTCTACTTGAAGAGTTCTGGATAGAGCATAATGACAAACAAAAAATTTTTTATCTTAAATTTAAAATGTTTTCATATTTGTTTTTTTTTTCGATTTTATTAAAAATACCTCCCTAAGTGGGTTTCTCTGTCAGCTAAAGGCATGTTTAAGACTCTAAACCCCTCTTAACTATTAATTAATAGGTTATTGGAGGTTATTTCAATAATCTTTAAATCACAATTAATTGTTTCAGCCCTTAACTGCTTATACTCTAAAAATACATATATAAAACTGATAAACAACAAAATAAGACAGGACACAGAATACTTACTGTTGATCTTAGTGTCTGGGCACTGCAAAGAATAAATTATTGTTTATTTAATTACTGGTGATCTTATAAAACAAAACAAGTTATTTCTGAGTAACTTTGGTATGAAGTACTTACAGAGATGTCTGTTGGCACACATTCTGTTTGAAACAAAAGTGGAAAACAACAGCAACATATTAATTAAACAACAGCACCAATACAGAGCTTTTAACTGTTATTGTCTGTGTGGATGTTCGTGTCCTTTCATGTGTGTTTTTCAGGCTGACAGGCTCACCCTCTGGTGCAACGCTCATCAGTTGTTCTATGCTAGCCCAAATAGCCGATTCCAAGTCTGGAGACAGCATTGTTATGGCTTCGTCCAGTCGATCAAAACTAACAAGATGATGACAGCAAATGACACAAAGTAAGCCACAAAAAACAACAGGAAGCTTGATTATTTGGAGTTTCAGTAAAAAATGAAAATCTTCTAATTCCGACATAAAAAACAGAACAAATCAAATATGATTTTTTAAAAGGAATGTTAATATGAACTTTGTTGCTTCAATATTTTTGGTTTATGCTTAAAACTATAGCCATTTTAAGATGATTTAATCAATAGCATTATATAGCGACACATGGCAGGACTGGCTAAAATATTATGAACTAAATCTAAGGAATGCAAACAGCTGTTTTGCATGAACTGCTGGCAGAGATTTTAATCTAGTCTTATTAATTTTAATGAGTAAGAAATGGAGAGAAAAAAAAGATTAGGAAATAATGTAACAAACTCATTTAAAATAAAATATTACTAACAGCAAGATTACTAACAAAACTTAGTAAGTAAATCAATCCTTTTTTTTTAGTTTCATCACCAAATTGGAATCTATCCAAACTGTCCAGAAACATATGATATTACTGACTTCCAGTTTTTATTGGTGTATGACCTGACTTGGGGCCTTTTTTCTTATCCCCAAAAAGAACAGAAAGCATTACAGTCAGGTAGATAGGTTGTGACTTTCTTCAGGTTTTCATAAAAATACATTTTAGAAGGAAGAAATTTGTTATCTGGGGTGCCAATAAATTGAGTAAAAAGTGTTGTATTTAATAAATGTTAATGAGTAAATCAAATACCTTATAGGTGAGTAGTATAAAACCATATAGGGTACTCACATTAGTTTATAGACATTGCAGGAAGAATTGACCTGCAAATGAGATAAAGGAATATCAATCCTTCTGGATCTGTTGGAGATTAGTCAGCTGGTCTCTGAAGATAAAAAACTATTTTTACCTCTTGGGCTAGCTCCACCATAAAGTGCAGAACCTCTGTCAGTTTTCTGTCTTCTGGAGACTCAAACAGGAAGTCAAACACACGATGGATGACAACATCTTTCTCTGGTGGCGTTGGTAGAGGCATCAGCAGCATCTCTGCCAGCTGCTTCGTAGACAGGACATGTAGAGCTTCCAGCTAAGGAGAAAATATTGAAACAAATAAACACTAGTTTCTTCATTTATTTCTTAATCTTGCCCAGTAGCAGCTCCCAGACTTACTCCAGAGAAATGTGGGTTGAGCTCATAGAAGTCCATGACAGAGGCAAATCTTGAGAAGAACCCAAAATTTATCTCCACCCATTCTGCGCTCTGATTGGCTGGGGATTGGCACCGTGGCTCTGAAATATTTTAAACAACATTTATTAGGAATAAATAAACCTTTTTTTGAATACTTGGATTGAGAATAGTTGAATTATTTAATATAAGACACATATATTATAAAATTTTTAGTTAATTTAGAAATATCTTTTTGAATATCAGTCATAATCCTAAGCTGCTGCACTTCTTCCACACAAGATTTTGGATTTTTTATTTATTTTCATTTAACAATAGTAATAGTAATAGTTTTGTATGGTTTTTAGACTGCCCCAGTCTGAGACATACGTGAAATAATCTGCTGCATAGAGAGCTTCACACCAGCAGGGATGCTAAAAAATATTTTTTACAGTCTTTGCACTTTCAGTGTGATATTGTGCCTATTTAGGATGTTGAATAGTTTCTGCTGCAATACTCTCATTTTATTCAAATTTTACAGTTATTTAACCTTGCTACAAATAAATCTATACATAAAATGTGGATAGAAAAATACAGTATATCACTTTTAGATAGAATAGATCTAATTTCAGATGTAGAATGCATTAATTAAAATGCATTCTGCACACATGCATGCATGCATGCATTATTTAATTAATTAAAAGTGGTCTGCTAACTACTGGGTAACAATCCTAATTAGAAATGGATCGCATAACTTCCTCCACCACATACCTCTTTAATATTATCAAGAACCTTGAAAAAATCAAATAACCTTTTAGCATTACCTGATATATATCCCATTGAATTACACATTATTAACTCTTGCCACAAGCTTAAATAATATTTTCAGACAAAACATGCGGTATAAGCTACATCTCGTATAAAAAGTCTTGTAGGTTTAGACTATGAATATGAAAAATAATTCCACGATTAGCTATCTCACATCTTTTTCCATTTGGATATACAGTTTAACCCCAAAACAAGAAACTGTAAAATGTACAAACATTAAAAACCTGATTGTATACATCTTCGCAGTGTTAAACTATTACTTTGCTTACCGGAGTGGTTGTGATTCAGCAGGAAAGAATAGATGAAATACTTGTAGATGTTGTGACTATACATGTCAGGAGCATCCATATGCATCATGGAATCACTCAGTTTTACAACCCTGCAGACAGCAAGTAGGAAAAAAAAGAAAGAAAAAAAAGAAAGATTGTGGTGAGACTAAACCCTGAGGAAATTCTTTTATAAATATCCAAAAAGTGAGAACTGACAGTGTTTGGTAAACGGGGCAGGAGAAGTTCTTGGTGCTCAGACAGGAGAGGATGTCTGGGTCTACGTCTGGGAGAAGAGGCAGCAGTTTGACCTGGAACCAGAGTTCGATGAACTCTGGATCGTCCAGATGATGCTGTGTCAGAGAGTGGGGGTCGGTGTCGTTGAATATCTCCCTAAAGTCTGACACCAACTCTGCAATGTTCTGTGGAGCAAGAAACAACCGACTAGAGTTTTTGCTGGAGAGATGAGAGCAGTCCAAAGCACACAGAAGCATCTCCACAGTCATGGAGTAAAACTGAAGGTTCTAATGTTTGGAAGATTAAAGGAATATGCTCACTGTTGTGGAAAGCTCTTTGACCAGGGAGTTCAGACGCTTAACCAGTTCAGTTATCAGTCTCATGATCGTTGTCTCTGTCATCGTCAGCTCACTTCGAGCAGCACAGTGCAAAACATGGGCTATGTTCACCACTGCATCAGTCAGCTGAGGGCATCAAAAGCATTATGATTGGACATAAGGAAAAAATGAACCCTCAGCTTTAAGGGAAATTAGACTTATATTGAGAAATGAAAAGTCTTGAGTGAACTTGAGTAAAATTAAAACTTACCCCACATGGTGCCTTGTCCAGGGTGACGCTGCACACATCATTGATTTCATCATATTCGTTTCCCTCAACATCAGTCTGATTCAAGTAGCTGCACACAGAAGAAATACGCAGATCAGACAAACATCAACAAAAATAGACCTTTTTTCATCCTTAAAATGGCCACAGATTGGCATTTGGCCACTAGAGGGACTCAATTTGAAAAAGGAAGTTTGTTTTATTTATTTTTTTTATGGTAAATGTGTAGCCTATCAGAAGTTTACCTATCTAAAGACTTCTTGGACCATGCCAGTCCAAACAATAATTGCATTTTGTTCCAGACCTTCATTGTGAGCTATTCACTGCTGTCTTAATATTTATGCTACAAATGCATGATAACTCTAGGAGACATCCACTCTGTATCATTTGATTTCATTCCCCAATTTTTGTTATGTACATAATAAATATAATAACTGTATATCCTGACAGAAGAACTGTCCTAATGAGATAAATTGCTTGGGTAAACGTTCGTTTTGACATATAACAGGAAGGTAATATTAAGGTTTAACACACTCATATATGAAATAATAAAAATAATCCTAACAAGTATAAAATAGCTAATACCTGATCCTCCCTCTTAAAACATGTGGTTTAAAAAAGTCTGGAGTATATACCAGATGGAAAAAATAACATACTTGTTATAGTTACAAAAACCTCTTTTAACAGACTGTGGGAACCTGTTGTAACCATGTTGTCACAATAGGGACCTTTTTCTTTTTTGCTTTTCATAGCTTACAGTTGTATTTCCTCTCATAATCTTTTATTTTAGTAAAGGAGTGCTTTCCACTTTTAAATATATATGGTTTTATTTTTACTGCAAATGGCAATTTATGTCAAAACATCTTTTTGTTATGTTTTTGTATCACTATTATTTTAATAGCAGTATCTGGTTTAAGATTCTTAATATATGGACATAATGAAAACTGTCATAATTTGCTTTAACTTGGAAAAACTAAGAACAAAAAATAGACGGGTGGGGAAAATAGCCAAAATGTTTTGAAATGTAGAATTACTTTTTTAATGTATTTTTACTTAAGTAGAATAAAAAAAGTTATAATTTTTCAGTCAATAACTGACTGGAGTTCTGAGCACCTAAGTAGTATTGTTTGATTAAATGTAATTTGTGATGATGATGTATTTGAACAGATAACTTTTTTAATGCAGGTCGTGATAGAAAAAGTGATAGAAAATAAAAAACATTTAGAAAAAAAATCCAATTAAAACAAATTATAAAAAAAAAAACTGACTTGAAAAGCAAATGTCACAACAGGCTCAATGAACAAAAAATTCATTCAAAAATCATTAAAACAGTAAGAGTTATTTTTCAACCAGAAGTCTGGTGCAGTTTATTACTAGTTCCTTCCCATTTCTGGGATTCACTGTTGTTAAATGAGGAAGTTATTTCCCCTAAAAAGTAGTTGCGCCTCGGGACTTCCCCACCGGTTCTTTTCCTGGGAGCAAGTTACTTACTACTCTTAACTCAAACTGGATAAAACCATGTAACAAAAGGACTATATAAACAGGAGTAAAAAAGTTACAGAGTTTATTCCAGATCAGGTTGTTACAGGGCAGAGAAAAATGCTTGGAGCTTGCACAGCTGTGAGCTCAAAAATCACATCCGCGAGTGTCGGGCAAAGATTGAGCCCCGAACAAGGTCATCTTCTCCTTCTTATAGCTCATGAGTCTATGTGTTGGATCATGTGGATGTTTAGCTGTCTGTATATAACTGACACGCCATCCATGCCCTGAACCTGTATGCATCTTGCCTCTATGCCCAAGATTACAGATACCGGTACATCTCCTCTATCAGTCCGGCTCCAAGATGTGCCCATATCCTGTGTATTTTTAAAAGACAAGAAGGCTGTCCTATTTAGATGACCTACTTACACAAAGTGACATCCACAATGTGAAGGAAGGTCATCTACTCTCTCTATCTGGCTAACAAAGTAACAATGCACATGATGTATAAAAGAATAAACCTAACACTGTGTACAATTACAAGTCAAACAAACTCAAAGCAAACTAGGATAGAAGCTAAATAGACCTGAAAAGTCCAATAAAACATTGAAACAGGAAAATCTTTGCTAAACAACAAAAAATATAAATAAACAGGTTATGAAAATGAAAAATGTCCACATCAAGTCAAAGATGCATGTAATCGGTTTAAACTCATTCACACTTACTACAGCTGGTGAAAAGCCATTGTGATGTTCTGCGGGATGATGGCTCCCTCTTCTGGTAGGAACCTGCGTAGCAGCGGCAGCACCACCTGCTGGAACCAGTCTTCCACATTGGTCACATCAAACTGTGGGGTCTCTGGGACCATGTACGTGTTGTTGGTGCTGTACATGCCGGCCAGCTCAGCCAGAGTGAAGTTGAGCAGGAACTGAGTCAGTGTGGTGCTCTTTATCTCTGAAACATTTCTCTGTAAGGCATTAAGGCCAGTTAGGATTTTAGCTACTGCTTGGTCAGTGTAAATATCTCAGGATGTGTTTGTGTCAGTTTATTTACCTGACGTGTAAAGGACACAAATTCATGAGCAAAACTCCCAATTGGTCTAAAAACCATCATGAATCCATCTGCAATCTGTAATGTAAAAAGAAATGGGGTAGGGAATTAAGGTTTGTTTCTGAGTTTTTATCTTATTTCTGTTTTGGTGGATGTTCATTTCTTTCTTTTTTATTTGAAGCCTTCCAATTTTCATTTTTTATTTACAACTTTCTAAAAGATACGGAGAGAAATCATAGTATAAAGCAATAATTGGATCCCCATGTCCCCCAAGACAACACTGAAGACATGTGAGCCATATTGTTGTGGTTTGTCTCAAAATGGCCAAACTGTGACAAAAACCTCTCTGGTTAAACAGACATTTGTGGTAGTTTAAACTTGTTAACATTAATATTTTAAGTTAAAACCACAAAAAACAGAAATTCATGAGTTATTAATCAAATGTAACCTGAAGCTAATTATTGTAAACAGCTAATGATGCAGTAAAAATGTGTAAATTTACAGCTATGAAATAAATGTATTTAGTTAGAGAGATTTAATGGTTTACTGAAATTTGAGGTTGATCATAATTAAAAGTGGAACTATGCAATAGCAATAAAATATGAATTTATCACAATTTATTTATAGAGTCTCATGTATAATGCAGAGACTCTGCAATTTTAAGCTATTAATATGTCCCATGTTTAAGACTCAGCTGTTCATCTTTATTATTATATCCCAACCTGGCTTTGTGTCTCACAAAACATTAACTTTTTTTTTTTACCATATTTACATGAAAAAAATAATCTGAAACTAGAGCATATAACCATATTTGGGGTTTTGCATTGGCAAGGCAGATATACTTTTTTTTTAAGAGTTTATAATTTTTTGTCTGTTTTCTTGTCTTTTTTCCCTATTTCCCAAATTTAAGAATACAGTGATCATTTTCATTGCTAATTTAACCATTTCTATACAGTAATATTTCTACAGTTTGACTTTGAAACAATTCAGGGTATTAATTTGGATGTGTTGTTGCAGACTGGGTGAAGTTGGCAAAGTTATTTCCATTATGTTGGAAAAATACTTTAAAACAAAACTTAGGCAACATATAAAAGGTAAAAATGTTTTTTTCCTAAATATAAGCGTATTACCAAAGAGTAACAAAGGGATCTCACAGAAACTGTATGAGGAAACCTGATGCAGTTAGACCAGTTCAGAAGGCTGAAGTCAAAATTCCAGCAAATTATCATGGAAATATTAACCAAGGATCTCCGATTTGTTTGACCAAAATCACAGATCAGTATTTACCCAATAAACTCATCTTGAAAACTCTAGCAAACTAACTAAAAGGAAGAAATGTTAATTTGATTTAATGCCAACGGGTAGAAAAAATATGTGCAGCCTATTCAAATGTTTTGTTTGGATTGTAAATGAGTGGAGAAACTTTATGCAGAAAACTGTAAACAGGAATAAAACAATATGTTGAATTAACATACTGGAACATCCAGTATGGTATTTCATCTTTCTCTGCCAGGTTTTTGGTCACTGCTCATTTGATCCACCTGCTCCTGCCTCTATTTAAGCAGCTTGCATCCATTTATCTGAGCCAGATTATTCTTGTTCTCTCGTGCCAGGGGTGAGAGGGTTTTTAGCATACCTGAATGTTTCTTATTATCTTATTCAGACCTGTTATGCCTCTCAACCACTGAGCCTGCCTGTTTCCATCTGAATGGTTTGCCTGAACTGTCTTTGGACTTCTGGACCTTTGAACCTGCCTGTTCCTGTTCTGATCTGTTTGCCTGACTTGGCGTCGTACTCCTGTTGGTTCTCTGGGGCTGCAGCATCTGGGACACTCTTGGCAGCGCCCGCTGCATCTTGTTGGCAGCCCACCGGCTGGATCCTAGCTCGTTCTCAGAACACAGGCTGAGCAGTTAAATCAGATAGATGCCCTAGCCGCTGTAGCTGCTAAGCACAGACCTGTCTTTAAATAAATGCTTTTGAATTATCTCACTGTCTGTCTTGCCTCGAATACTGGGTCCTATGTTCTGAGTTACGACACTGTTTGCACTTATTAAAGGCTGTGTTTAAAAAAACCACACTAGTCACAACATTTAGGTGGGTTTTGACCTCAAATTAAATATCATGAAGCTTATTTTTACCTCTTTGAGGGTGCTTTGTTGAGATGAAGGGCCAGATGGCACTACTGATGTGTTTCCAGGTCTGGGAGTCGTTTGAGGGCCAGAATCCCCATTCCACAAGCTGTCAAAAACCAGCGTTAGGGTGCCATTGTCTAAACCAGCAACCTCAGGCCTTAAGAGCAGCTCTGCCTTTTGAGCAGGAGACAGCAGGTGGAGGACCTCCAGCTGTGGTAAAAAACAGAGGCAGGGGTCAAGCAAAGGTTTCACCGTTTAGATCTCAGGCTGAAAAGTCTTACTAGAAAGGGAGATCTCCTGAAATGCAAAATCCATTTAGGTAATTTAAAGGACATCAGTCTAACTTACACCACTGAAGACCATGCTGAGGCTGGAGAAGTCCTCCATTCGAGCCATCCATCTGAAGGCGCCAAAATTCTTCATCAGCCATTCTTCACTGCTTTCATCTGGGTTTACACAACCTTCACACAAACAAAGATAAACCCACATGTAGAAATAGAAACACAGTGTCTGATTACCTACATACTTCATGTCTCAAGGACAAGGGACACGTTTTAGACAGACTGGACTGGTGGTTTGAATAAAGACAGACTCTCTTTTTTAATCTCCTTTTTGATTTTTCAGATTTAAAGAATTAGACAAATTTAGATGCATCACACAATAGAGTGCATGTGGTAAGATGACACTGTTTTTTCAGCTTTTCACTAACTTAGAATCTGAAAAGTGAAAGCCCCCCGCCCCTACCTCAGGTCATCAGATCACCTATCTGTCATGCTAATTCCTGCATACGGGCCCCAGCTGATCAGGACTAAACCAACAGTCAAAGAAATCTGAGTGTGGTGTGAGGGGGCCATGGAGAGACTTCAAGCTTGTTTTGAATGTTCTGACTGGAATACATTCAAAGCTGCAGTAACCTATGACAAGATCAATATAGATGAGTATGTCATGTCTGTGTCAGCCTATATCAACAAATGCATTGAAGACATCAGCATCACAAAGAACATCATCACCTCAGCAAACCAATGACCCTGGATGAAGGGCTGAAAGCACGGAACTCAGCTTTCAAATCTGGTGATAGAGAGGCTCTGAAAAACAGCCTGTACTATCAGATCAGTGAAGCAGAACCGCAGCCAGAAAATCCAGGATCTTTTCCACAATGCCAGCAACACCAGGAGGATGTGTATGGGTGATCACATACAGTACAACAACAACCCCTCCCCCCCGGGAGATGCAGCAAATGCTGTTTTCCTAAATGAACTGAACAACTTCTTTGGTAGGTTTGAGGCACTAAACAGCACTCCTGCAGTGAAAGCCATTCCACACCAGGGGGAGGAGGCACTAAACCTGGACGTAGCTAAAGTGAGGAAAACTCTGAGGAGTCAATCCAAGGTAGGTCCCAGGCCGCTATAACATACCTGGGCGGGTGTACAAGGAGAGTGCAGGTCAGCTGACTGGTGTCCTCACAGACATTTCTTAAAACCTAGCTGGACCAATCCATAGTGCCAGCATTATTTAAGTCTATCACCATCATTTCGGTTCCAAAAAAAGCCTCAGGTTAACTCACTCAATGATTACCGGCCTGAATAAAGAAGTTCTTCGAAAGGTTGGTTAAAGAACACACCGTCTCCAGTCTCCCCCCAACATTCGACCCGTTCCAGTTCCGCTACTGACGAAACTGCACCATCTTCTCTGCTCTTCACCTGAGCCTCACACACCTGGAGGAGAAGAACACCAACCTGCAGATGCTGTTCCTGGACTTCAGTTCTGCTTTGAACACCATCATCCCACAGCATCAGATTGGCAAACTGGAACAGCTTGGCTTCAATACACCCTTCTGCAATTGGCTGTTAAACTTCCTCAAAAACAGGCCTCAGTCAGTCCGGGTTGGACAGAACACCTCTGATGTCATGACCCTAAGCACAGGCTCCCCTCAGGTCTATGTTCTGAGACCCCTTCTTTTCACCCTGATGACACATGACTGCGTCCCCAGCTTCACCACCAATCACATCTTGAAGTTTGGAGACTACACCACAGTGGTGGGCCTCATCAGAGACAACAACGACCAGGACTACAGAGAGGAGGTGGAGCAGCTGGAAGCAGAGATAACAGCCTGATCCTGAACATAGAGAAGACGAAGGATAAAATCTTGGGCTTTAGGAAAAATTGGCCTAAACACGCTCCACTGCTCTTCAACAGCTCAGCTGTAGAGGTGGTCAACAGCACCAAATTCCTGGGGTGCACATGACAGACACCCTCACCTGGAGTGTAAACACCACCTTACCGGTCAAAAGGGCACAAAAGCGCATGTACTTCCTGTGGAGGATGAGGAGAGCCCACCTGCCCCCACCCATTCTCACTACCTTCTACAGAAGCACCATGGTGTTCTGACCAGCTGTATTACTGCAGTGCCGCAGATTGGAAGAAGGTGAGAAGAGTAGTGAGAGGAAGAGAGAGAATCATTGGGGCTCCTCCTCCCTCTATAGAAGACATTTCGTCCCAGCACTGTGTCCAGAGCCCGTAACATCATCACACCATGGACCCTTTGGCTTCAGTCTGCCATCAGACTGTTGAACTGTTGAGACTCTATCAAGACTCTGCATCACACTTGTAAACATATTTGCACGACCAACATGGCTAATTTTTTCATAATCCCTAATACTGATTTTTATTACTACAGTACTACTGAATTTTATTAACTACTGCTGATTTCTATTACTGATTTTTTTCATAATCCCTTCTACTGCATTTTGCACCACATTATTTGTTTGCACTGCTCTGATCCTTTCTATATCAATGCCTTTTGCTCCATGACCTTTAACTAGTTTTCCTTTTCTCCTACACAGTTTACAATCTGATCCCTGCTGCACTTTATAAATGGTAATGTTCATTTCACTGTTGTTTGCCATTTTGTATACACTCTGTGTATACGAAATGGCAATAAAGATTGTCTAAGTTTATTTCTAAATAACCTCATTTGCAGTAAATGTAATCCAACCTCTGGTTTAAAGCTGTAATCTAAAGGCTTCAGATGTTTTAAAGAGAACTACAGTAAAATCATGACAAAACCAGGTGGATTGTGCTTCATCTAGTCAATGACAATAGTCTCCAGAAGTGCAGAGCTGTAAAAGTCAGAAATAAAAAGGCCTTCAACTTTAGATCAGTTTTTGTTTTGCACTTCTTTTAATGCAGCTGTTTTTGTCTTTTTCTGTTGTTTATCATATAAGTGGCTTGTAATAAAGTTAACAAGTGCATCAATGGCTAATTGACTTAATGTATTTTGAGGTGCATTGGATTGCATGAATGAACTCAATACAAGATCCCTTCAAGCAATTCCTGTGTACATATTTTTTTTTTATTATCAAGCAATACACTTTACCTGCAACTCTGTCTCCAGAGAGGAAGGGGTACATGAAGAACGTATAGATCCACTTTTGTCTGACTGTGTTCATCTCTGAATAATGTTGACTGATCTCTCTCACCCTGAAAAGTATGACAGATATGTTACAGAACAGCTGTTTCCAAGAAGCTACTGTCAAAATAAAATAAGCTGCAAAGAAAATTAAAGATCATACACAGTCTGATAAGTGGAGCAACTGAAATTCTTGGTGCTGAGGCATGACAGGAAGTGTTTGGTGATTGAACCCAACAGAGGTTTTATTTTGACTTCAAGCCACATCTGAACCAGGGCTTCATTCTGAAAAGGATCTGCTGCAGGGTTAAAATCCAAAGCTCCTTCCAGGCTCAGGATCGGCACACCAGTCATGCTGGATTTCTATGAGAATGGATGAAGAAAGATATAACGTAAGGTTCAAGGTGTGGCTCAAAGGAAAAGGTTTAAAGAAATTGATTGATAAGCCTTTGCCCTACAGGTGTGTCAATGGCTGAAAGCACAAGGGTCAATGCATCACTTAGGAAAAATGTAAAAAAAAAAAAAAAGCAGACACAAAAGAAACAATAACTGGTCAGACTGGAATGAGTGGAAGATTTTTGCCACTTCATGCCATTAAATGCCATACCATGAAGGTGTAGACATCCATCATGGCCTCCAGCATTGCCTTCAGTCTGTGCATGTGGCCTTTTTCTGTGTCTCCAGAGGGCAAGCCGACACACTGCAGGAAGCCAGAGGTCGCATCTGGCTCCTTCAGGGGTCCGGCAAAAAGGAAAATTTATTACATACGTTAAGGATTTCATACAGTAACAGGACATGTTTGAGTGTTTATTTTAACATTACAACCATTGACGCTGATGTCACTTTTTTCTCTCACAGAACACAAAGTGGTGAATAAGAGTGTAGAGAAAACAACAATAAGCAAATTTTTTTGGATTTCTATTTTACATGTCAAAATAGGAACGATCTGGTGTGCATTTGTATTCAACCCCTTTACTCTGATTCCTTTAATAAAAGTACTCAACAGCGTTTGAGTTCTACTTTTTTCCCCCTTTTTAATGTACATCATAAAAAGGAACATAATCATGTAAGAACCTCCACTGATCTAATGTAACGCATAGCAGTTTGAGGGGTTTTGACCTGGAAGAGAAAGCAGGACTAAAGAATGCGTGTGAGTGTGTGTTTCAGATCCATTTTTAAAGCTCCAGCTATGTGAGAAATCAGCAGTAAAATCTATCTTTGTTTGATTAGTTTAGAAGGAAAGAAAATACTTTATTTGAAAAAAGCTTTAAAGTCATAAGAGCAGGCTTTAGAACAGGTTTTGCCCAAAACCTTACACCACAAGAATAGTTTCTTCCCATCCGCTACCAGCCTTGACACTGACACTGCCTCTCTCCCTCCCCCATTCGGGACCTACAGTAGAAGCACCAACGTAGCATCTCCACACCTCCTGCATTACATTAACACACAGCCTACTGTGTATAAAGTACTAAGCTATATATTATATATTGTATGTCGTATATATTGCATGTTTCATACTGTATATAGCTATAGATACTGTATTCTGTGTATATCTATATTTATTTTGTCTGCACAATCAACACACTGTAAAATTCTTTGTAAGGGCAAACCTACTTGGCAATTAACTTGATTCTGATTCTGAGGAATAAGAGGTCTGAGTATAATTGACAACTCACCTCTAAATATATTTGACCTGGTGATGCTTGTGTGTTAAAGTAAAAGCATCAAACCCAGAGAGAAACCAGAAGTTTTCCCAAAGGTGTAAATACAAGGAAATGATTTCTGTTGTCTTGATTTTGAAAACCCATCCACAAGTTTTTCCAGAACACGTCCGTCGAGTTAGTGCAACAAAGAAGTGAATCAGCTGTTTGATACTGAATAGTTATAGTTGGCTACGTCACCAAGCCAGTTAATCCTGCTTCACCTAAGAGGATTGAATTATGCTTCATCAAGATTAAAGAGGGATTTTAAAGCTGATGATTTCAATATACTGGTGGTATGTGATCAGGGCAGTTTGGAAACTGCCCAGTGAGGGTGTTATGGGACTCATTTGATATCCTCACAAGACATTAGAAATTGACCAAAATAAGCTTATTTCCAGACTGAAGGTCATTTAATTTGCTTGACATCTTCCTTGAAATTCTCTGCTTTTTTGTTTTTTTTTAATGTCATGCCTTCTTCATGTTGTCAAAGTGGTCTTGTGTTAGTGATCTAATGGTCCTATGTGTTTTATACTGTTATTAGCAAGAGAAGCCTTATGCATGCAAAAAAAGCAAACACAGGAAAAACTAGGTGTAAAACATTTTCCAGGTTTTAAAAAAGTCATCAGCTACATGACAAAGAAATGATGCTGATTCTGCCTATCAAGAAAGAAAAACATGAACTGAAGTAACTTTCAGTTATCGCTGAATAATTTTTCTTTCTTGATCATCAAATACAATGAAACGTTCCTTCTTAAACAATTGATCAAAACCCTATGATAAAAAAAAATATTTTTTTTTAACACAAAGAGCTACCAAAGAGATTTAGTAATAGTGGAAATCAACGGATTTCTAAAAAATATACAGATGAAGAACTCACCGGAGTACAGGTTTCTGTCCCACATGTTGCATTCCTGCAGGTACAATTACATAAAAAGCTCATTAAACATAGAACCTAGGGTAAAATCTACATTTTGAAAAAAGCTTTGAATGTCCATCTAAATTTAATGCTCCTCTAAGTGTTTAAAGTGCTGTATGTTTGCTCCTTTAAATACTAAAGGAATTAAACTTACCCTTTTCTGCTTGATGCTCCTGTTAGGATTAAACAGATTTTTATTATTAGATTTCGTACACAAAACAAACTTTACTTTGTGATATTAATATGTTGTTGTTATACGTAAATTACTATGGTGAACACAGAGTAAATGCTTTTTGATATTTATGCCAGCAAAAGCTGGCATAAATATCTTTGCATCAAACTGTAATAGTTAAAGATCTTAGATGAATTAGTTAAAGTTAGATTGCCCAGAGAGAAGAACTTAACTCGTCTTAATTTTTAAACTGTCCCATAGTCCCTTTTTTAAATCCGAAGGCACCTTCAAGTAAATGTTTTACATGCAGGAAGTAAAAAAAAGGACTTATTGCATATAGCAGTCATACCGTAACAATAGATTTCCAGGTAAATGTTTCTATGTACTTCCTGGTATAGACATACACCCATACTGACTTATTAACATATTAGTTTAAACGGTTGGTACAATTTCCTCTTGGCGAAGAAACGCACAGATTGAAACAACAACCAAACAAAAAAACTAAACAAAAAATAGTCGATAGGTTCATTACTAAGAGAAAACTTTTCTATATATATGTTTGTTTCCACTTTGGACAGTTATTATTCTTTTTAGCTCTTTATTTGCACCAATATGTTCCTATTTTTCTGTCTGTAAATATATAAAATGATATTTACAGTGATGAGTAGAATAAGAAATCTTAGAAGAAGTGAATGAGATTAACTTTAGTTTTTCAAAAAAGTCATTTTTAGAATAACATACAATATTACTGCTGCTGGTTTGCTTTCCTCCAGCATGTTTATAATAATTACAATAATTCTAATCTTTTGGGGACTTTTTTCATGTTTTCACAAAAGAAAACATCATTTTACAGACTAAATGCTTTCAGACCAACAGGGGGATTTTAAAAGAGCTCATAACTTGACATAAAACAAATGCTCATTGAATTACAATGTATCTCTCAAGCCCGGCTACAGGTCCTATTCTGTTACTTAAAGGAATGACTGACACTTACTGATCTAACAAGGTGGTTTTTTAGGCCTAAGAATGTGTTTTTATCCTCCATTTTAATTAGATTTTTTAAGCAGCTTCTAGAAAATATGCAGTTGTTGAGATGAAATCCACAGAACTATGTGAATGAAAAAAAAACCAAAGCAAGAAAAAACTTTTAAAAACTTAAGAGAGGAATTCATTAACATCACCTCATAAAACAAAATGTATAAAGACATTTTGGCTGAAACGAAACCTTTGTGCCATCCTCTATCTTACATTATAATAATACTGTAACAATACATCTTATTTTAGAATGAGTCATGTGTTGTTTGGAGTTTTAAATAGATTTAAAAGGATTAAAAAAAACAATGTGTTTCTGTATGCTGTGGCGTGCTGTAGGTGTTTGCTTAAATACAAATAATCTTCTCTTACCAAAGGTGGTTCCAAAGAGGTAGATCAGTAGGAATAGGTAATGTGTTTTCATGATATAGCCAGTCTCATGGGATCACAGGGCTTTGTGTTGAAAATCACTGGAGAGAGAACAAGAGATGCAGCAGGTGACAATGAGTCACTATCCTTCAGAGAACAATGATCAACTAACTGGGTTAAAGCTCTAGCTGAAGTATCAATGACATCAATGATTTACATTTTTAGATCTCAAACTAAACTCTAGGAATAAAAACTATTCATCCTCTAACGATGTAGTGGAACCTCCTTTATTCATGTAATTCAAAGTTTGATAAATGGCAGCACTCCTGAAGTCTTTGTGCAGCCATTGTTGCTGTCCTTTCACCTTCATACCTTTGTGGTTTCTGCGAATAGAAGTCAGGGAGTGGCATTTTGATTTTTTTTTTTTTTTCGTTGTTGTTGCATTCAATCTTGCATAAAAATACCTTTAACACACTTCTGCGGAGACAACAAAAGATCAGTGGAAAAAATGCTGAAACTCTACACCCTTCAGTTCCTGACAGCGAGCATTAGAACATCAAGTCAATCTCCCCATCTGAACAATGAACAGCAAAAGCATTATTGAAAGGCAAAGGTTTCATGTTAGTTATCTGTCATTGGTTGTAAGGAAAGTTATCTGAATACTGGTGACAGACAGCGGGGACAGTGGAGTGTAAAATATATATATATATATATATATATATATATATATAACCCATTTTCTTGTTGCAAGAGACACATTAGTGGCTTTAAACTCACTTTGTGATCGCAGGGAATCTAGACAACAGGACACCGAGGTCCTCCTAAAGTATTGAGCATGAGCAACAAGTTCCTTCTCCGAAGCCTTTTGAACATTTCTAGTAGCACTGGGCATCCATCTGGAAATTTCACTGAGTAGAATTATGTAGAACTCTATTTAGAGTCAATCCAGGCCGAGACCTGGCTCAGATGTGTAGCTCTAACCTCAATCTTTTTCATGTTTTTATACTTAAATAATCTTAATCTGATTATCTGACAAAATGGATGAGTGATAAGATAGCAGGGGGTTTAAAATGCTGCAAAGTTCATCGGTTTGAACCAACTGCTGAATTCTCCCTTAGAGACACTTATGTGTGCAGCTCTTTGACTGAAGGGATGGATAAAACACAGAGAACAAATTTCCCCTCTATGGGTCATTTTATCCAAATTAAAAGCGGAAAAAAATGAAAGATACTATGTTAATCATATTCAATATGATGACTTTTATTGTTGTTCTGGAATTCAGGTTTGGTCGTGCTCTGCTTCCTGGTTTCAAACGTTACTGTACATTATTTTATGTGTGTAAATGTCAAAAGAAGACTTTTTCCATATATTCAAAGGTTGTATGAAAAAGTGCTTAGAAACAAGCAGGAGGGGGAAAAGGCTTGGGTTTATTCTAGCATATATATATAAATACTGTGTAGTTGTAGAGAACATGTACTCGTGTGACTATATAAGATAAAAATAATCCTTTAAGAATTGTTGTGCCATATGCCATGATCATACTTTTGGACATTGGGAACCAGTGTCCTGATCTCTTCTGCCCCTGCGCTCAAAGCTGGGCCTCGGCTGAATCTCCACTACAGTGGAGATGCGGGCCCCAGGGGAACCAGATCTCCAGAACCATCAAGGACAGGTCAGAACCTTTCAGAACCAAACTGTTGCAAACAGTCCTTTTGCAACACATTTCTCTTGAATTTCAGAACTTATAGAGCCAAACTGGATGAGAACCATGCCCTGGGTGTGAGCCTGAGGGGACCCCCTGCTGTGAGACTGAGACAAAGAACCCCTGGTCAGCTGCAGCTGGATGGAACTCAAGCTTTCCAAATGGACATGGAATAAAATGTTTGCAGGTCTGGCATGATTAGGGACAGAACAAGCAATATGTCTTTTGATGATGCTAATCATATCGTGTGTTTACTGCTGAGTAAAGACAACGCTAATTGACGCTAAAGAATGGACTGCATGCCACGCTATGCTACAGGAATATGTGTTGAGCTGTTGCTGAAGCTTGGACAAGCTTTATTCACTAAGGGTTTAAACACTGATATAACATTAGTGTTCATATGTTCCTCAGATGCTCATTACATTTCCATTGGCAAGTATGACCAAGAGTCATTTAGTGGAATCCTGATGTCTATTTGCTGCTAGCTATTTCAAAGAGGGTAAAGAATCATTTGACTAAAGGTTAGTGGTTCTTGATTAAGAAAATCATTCAATAAAACATTATTTGGCCAAATAATGTTTTATTCACCTCATGGATTTGCATTGTAAATTGGTCTGAAAACATTCCAATTTCTTTAAAATGAGTGAAAAGCTAATTTGATCATATCCCAAATTCTTCCAGATAAAATTTGGTTTCAAACACAAAAATCCATCTTAACCTGTAATATGGTTTTCAACCATGTTCCCCTTCCTCTTTATACATAGTAGTTTAGTTTAGTTTCACTAGTTTTAGTTAAGAGTGTTAGACTGAAATATGTTTGACTTGGAGCTGAATGATTTTTGTTGATAACTTCTTATATTTTGAACAGAAGTTGTGGTGAATTTATTCCATGTATGTGCAGAATTACAGCTAGTAGGGCTGTGTGTCATAAAAAGTATATAACAGCCGAAAAAATATCTGATTAAATAAGATAATTTACCCCCCCCTACCGGGGAGGGTAATAAACATATTAAAGTATCAGATATATAAATTCCCAGCTGGCTGGGAATAGAAAAAAACATAATATCACAACATTTACTTGGCGTCCCTGATTGCTGGGCCCATTGAATGTAACAGAATCAAACTTTTTGAAATTAATCAATAAAGACAGAAACTTTGATTTAGCTATTAACCCTCCTCAGAGATGCTAAAACGCTTTAAGAGAAATCAAACTTTTATTTCAGTAGCATAACTATACTAAAAATAAATGTAAAAAAAAAATCCGTAGTTTGATATGAACAATTCTAATCAATGAGGAAAAAAAACTCCAATGAGAAAAATGCTATCAAAGATGATTTTTCTATACTAGAATATTAGTGGCACCATTAATACATTATTGCCCTCCCAAAATAAGTCGTCTTTTTGTTAGTTGTGTTGTTCTCTTTTAACCTGATGAGAAAGAGAATCCTAACAGCATGATGACAGAGAGGACCTTTTTTTTTATACTAACCCTTTAAAATGAGAAAGACAAGGAAGAGATACCAATCAAGAAAGGCCACAGGTAAATCCTAAATAAAAATTTCTACTGGCCTAAGTTTACCCATATCTACTTTAACAGCCAAGCATAAAAGGTTTAAACCAACTGGAACAAACGTGTCAATATGAGGAACATTTTCGTCTTCTGATTTTCCTGGATTTGTTCTGGAAATTTATTTGTAAATAGATACAATAGAAACCCTACAGATTTCAGGAAGAGCTATGTTTTGTTTGCATCAGAGCACTTCAGAGGAAGCTGTCAGCACTATGAGATATATATACCTGATCTTTACGCTCCATTTACATAATGGCTGAACAGGAACATTGCAGAACCCAGTTCCTTATATTCCATCTCTCTATATATGAATGAATGATATATTCTCATTGAATACTTTGTTCTGCTGACAACTGAATTACACATAAATCAGCAGTGAAACTTTTAACCTTTTAACCAGACTTTTAACCACTATTAACCAGCCTAGACCTTGATTTGGAATCATACACAAAAATGAACCCTTTAACAGCCTGGTCAACCAAAGGATTGATCATTTTCATAGGAAAATGCAGGCTGGAGTTGGACAAGGACCTGGACCCGCTACAGGCTGATCTAACTTTGATTTCCTTAAAACAAGTGGTCAAAATGAGGCTCAGTATTATGTGTTGCCTCCATGTGCCTATATGACCTCCCAACTACGCCTGAGCATGCTCCTGATGAGATGGCGCAACGTGACGTTGGTAGATGGATCGATACATCACGTCCTAGATGTGCTCAATCAGATTCAGGTCTGGGGAACGGACAGGCCAGACCATAGCTTCAATGCTTTAATCTTGCAGGAACTGTTGACACTCCAGCCACATGAGGTCTAGCATTGTCCTGCATTAAAAGCAACCCAGGGCCAACCGTACCAGCATATGGTCTCACAAGGGGTCTGAGGATCTCATCTCGGTACCTAATGGCAGTCATGCTACTTCTGGTGACCACATGGAGAGCTTTGCGGCCCTCTAAAGAAGTGTCAGTGAACATGCTTTCCTCTCTGATCCTGCTGCTGGGCTGTTGCCCTCCTACAGTACAGCCTCCTCCATGTCTCCTGGTGTACTGGCCTGTCTCCTGGTAGCACCTCCAGCCTCTGGCCACGAAGCTGACAAACAGCAAACCTTCTTGCCAGGGTTTGCATTGATGTGCCATCCTGGACGAGCTGCACTACCTGAGCCTCTTGTATGGGTTTTAGAGTCTGTCTCATGCTACCATGATCTTTAAAGCACCACCATCATTCCAAAGTTTAAAACATCAGCAAGAAAGCATAGGTACTAAGAACGACTCTGTGGTCCCCCACCTGCAGAACCACTCCTTTTTGAGGTGTGTCTTTCTAACTGAAAATAATTTCCATCTGTTTTCATTTCCATTTGCATGTGCAACACTTCTTCTTCTTTTTCTGCTTTTGACACACAGTTTTAAACCTGCTTTCCTCTGTTTGCCGAAGGTCCCCTGCTAACGTTTAGTATCAGGGCTGTACCCTCTTTAATCCTTGAAGCCACTGGTCACTGAACTTTACCTTCATGAAGTTCACATAACCAGATATGAGAAAAATAACTGAGGACACAAATTAAAATCATGATACCAAAATCTAATAAGTCAGTAATTAATGTTTAACTAATTTACCTATGAATGTGTATTTACTTTGCAGTTAACACTTGTCTGCAACAACAGGAACTTAATTGTCCACAGTTTTGACAGTGTTTTTATTAGAGCCTACATAACAATTAAAGTTGTTTTTCAGTGCAGTTTAACTTGGAAACACAAAAATCTCAGGCTCTTTAAAGACTTATCATTAGATGCAAACAAAAATAGGAATCTTTAAGACTGAGTTTATGTATCAGTTTGTTTTTAACTGTGCTGACTCTCTCTAGCTGACTAACCATAGATGAGCTGTCTGTTACGATAAATGGTGGCTTAAACTGTTTGCTCACCATCACTCCTGAAGCCATTTGTAAACATAGAAGATAAAGGGAAATGGCATTTAGGTTATTTAAAAGAGAAAATTCTAAAGCTTAAAGCTTAGTTATAGTAAAGAATAATGATAACAATGGTATTTCTTTTTTCTGTAGAGAATATTCCACTATTTTTAAAGCTGAGAATTGTGATTGTTTTAGAGAGAAAAAATGAATTGTTATATACAAGAAAACACATGAGAGTTTGATTTAGCTACTTGCAGCAAGAGTCATACAGTAATTAATAACTTCCAATAAGAGGTATTGAAGTAATTACTTTCAGATTGATAAACATAATTTATGCTGACTGTGATTAAATGTAAGAAGTTAAAGTAGTTAAAGATGTGTGAAGTGTTTGCTCATAATATTACCTCTTCATTCATTATTTGTTAATCATGGCAGCTTCATGATGAACAAATTACAATATCAGCTAAATCAATCCCACCGACTAATAAGTTGCTTGGTTTTTTTTTATCGTTTTAAATAAGCAACAAGTAATGCAGCATCAAAGCACTGCAATTTCAATGTGCCTATTTTCAGCCTCATCTAAAACAGGTCCGTACAGTATAAAGTGAGAATGAATCAGCGTTTTTTTTCTTTCTTTTTTCCCCAGATGAATCATATAAAAAAAAAAAAAACTGTCATCTCTAGTTGTAGACAGAAATGTTTCCATTCATTATCTGTTCTTTAAGAAGGAACCTGGCAGAGACTTACTGAATATAGAGTTAAATCTCTTACCTTGTTTGTATGTGGAGTCCTTCAGGTGCTGTGGAGCGTCTCTATACTAACAGCTGAGACTCAGGTGTACCTGCAATGGGTGTGTTGCCTTGTGACGATGTCACTGGTGATGAAGGAGGCTTCCTCAGTGCAGCACGGGGGAAAAACCAAACTAGCTTTCAGACGTGGCTTACACTACAATTACAACCAGTTTTTCTGCAAATGAATAATAGTCTGATAGGTAAGAAGAAAAGATTATATAACTTGGATTAGATCTCATTTCTGCTTAAGAAGAATTGTGTTTTTTGAAGCGTTGTGAGAAGTAAAACAATACTGATGAATACCTCAAAGATCAGTCCCAGCATTAATATGTATCTATTCGAAACATTGCGCATATCTCCTGGGAATTTTCTTGTTTGTTTTTTTTCTTTTTGTTTTTAACACACCTTCTGCAGTCCGTGGAGACACCAAAATAAGGGTAAACTGGTTTGACTGAAGAAAAAACAAGGGCATACCATATGTTAGAAGAAATTAGTTTGAAGAATAATGTCTTCATCACATTAACAACATTCCTTTTCCTATTTCCAAAGAAGCAAATCTTTGTTTTTCAGTAATTTAAGGTGTATTAATAGTGGAAAAAGTAAAACATGATCCATATATCGCAAGAAATGTTTTTAATCCAAACACTTGTGATAACTTTGAACTTTTCTTTGTTACATAGACTTGTAAGCATGCATTTACACCCACACGCATAAACACATTGCAAGCATACCCAAATCAGGTTAAACTGGTTTTCTTCTCTCAGGACTAAATAGAATGAACTGTGCTTTACAGGATGTGTTGATTGACAGTTTCTGGCACAGTTAATAATGATTTAATAAAGTGTAAGAAACTTTATAAAGTTACTTATTTTTTCTCAAATATATTTAATTGAATTTTCTCTTTTTTGATACAACAAAACTTACAGACAAACAACAAAGTTGATCTTTTAACATGTACTTATTCACACTTACATTCACTCATGCATTCACCATTTGCATGTACTTCATTTGTCTAGTTCCAAAAATATAAAAATCCCTTTATATTAAGGTAGAGGCATAAAAAAGAAAAAAAAAGTGGCTATATATGAATAAAAACTGTAGTCAAGACATCCATTTAAAACTCCCATCAATAAGCTCCACTTTCAGTCCCTACAATTCTCATATACGGCTCCAATAGATTCTCAAAGTCCTGTTGTTTGGCATTGCCCTTGGCAATGTATGATAGTTTTTCCAGTCCCAGTGAGCTTGTAACTTTTTTTCTCCAGAGTCCCATGGAGGAGGCCTCCATGGTCCTCCAGCTTAGTGCAACAGATCTTCTGGCTTGAAGAAGTCCGTAGTCTATCAATGTGGTTATCCTCTGCGATTGTTTAGATTCTATTGGATATACTCCTAGAACACAGATTTTAACCTCTAATGGGACTTTTACTTTAAGCAATTCAGATATACACCTAATAACATTATCCAAAACTTCTGGACTTTAGGACATTCCCACAAACAATGGAGAAGAGTTCCTTTTTCAGATAAACATTTAGTGCAAGTATCGTCAATATCACTGGACATGTGATGAAGCCTAACTGGTGTTATATAGGTTCTCATAAGCCATTTATATTACAGAAGTTTAAATCGTGTGTTTGTCATTTGTTTTTGTGCTTTTAAACATGCCTGGTTAAGTTACATTTTATTGCTACTTTAATAGGCAGTCCAAAACAAATTGATGCATACCTAACCGTGTAGTAGAAAGAAATAAATGTTAATATTTATTTGGCATAAAGATCATAAGCAGGTGTAAGTTATCAGAATGATTTGAAGATTAATGGAGCACCACTAAGACTCTTAACCAAAAAGGCCAAGAGTGTAGAGCAGTTGTTTTTAACCACTAGAGTTGATGGGGGGGTAAGGAGAGCATTTATCAGAGAAACTACAAGGAGGCTTCGGGCAAAGCCTGGAGGATTTGCATTTGAATCAGGTTGGAAAATGTATCGACAAACCAGTTCTTGATAAAAACAAAAAAAAGGGTATCTGAAACAAAACCATCATTCTTGGCTCTGTTGTTGTTGTTCTGGTCAGAATACACCCAAATTAAACTTAATGGATTACATTTAAAACATAGTGTTTGGCAGAAAAACTTACACAAATCAGCAGGAGCACACCATCGCTCCAGTGCCACGGTGGCAGCATCATGCTGAGGGGTGATGCTGCTGGTCACGGTTCATGGGACAAATCGGTAAAGCTAAATGCAAGAAAATCCTGGAAGAAAAGCTGCCAGGTTAAATATCTAGCAGGACTGTTTCATCTATACTGAGATCATTGTATCTATAAAGGTAGATTCAATACAATGAGGCTGTTTGGGTTGTCTGGTTGTTTTTTTTGTAGATTTTGAAAATTATTTATCCTTTTTTTTCTACTACAAAATTACGTTTTACTTTGTGTTGGCCTTTCACTTCAGATACCATAAAATATAATAAAAAATGTTGGTTCTAACAATGGTAAATGTTAAAAGGAACAAGAAATGTTAATAATTAGGAATATAAGCGCACAACCCATTTGCAGAAGGTTTATTCCACAATTCAGCCGCCACAGGTTCTAGTCCAGGCCTTGTTACCCTTTGCCACTCTTAATCTAATCTCTTTCTAATCTCTCTGTCTACATGCCTTTGAGAATTACAAAAATAAAGGCCATTAGAACCTTAAAAAATAATACATTTCATACAGGGTTACTGCATAGGGTGTTTACATGGGTATTTATATAAATTGATATTTATATATATAGTTATTGCACTGGGTGTCAAAAAAAGAGAAACAGGTTATTGC